CTCTATACCCACTAAACAAAAATTCCCCATTCCAACCCCAACCTCCATTGTATTTTCTTTCTCCTTGGTCTCGATTATTTTAAGTACATCATATATATGGAATCATATAGTATTTGTCATTTTGTGATTGGCTTATTTCACTTAGCATGATGTCCTCAAATTTCATCCACACTGTAGCCCATGTCAGGATTTCCTTCATTTTTAAGGCTGAACGATATTCCACTGTATATATATACCCCATTTTACTTATCCATTTATCTATCTATGGTCACTTGGGATGTTTCCACATTTTAGCTACTGTGAATAATGCTGTTATCAACATGGATGTACAAATATGTTTCCAAGACTCCACTTTGAATTCTGTGGGGTATATACCCAGAAGTGGAATTGGTAGATCATGTGATAATTCTATTTTTAATTTTTTGAGGAACTGCCATTGTTTTCCACGACAATTGTACCATTTTATATTCCCACAGTGCGCAAGGGTTTCAATTTCTCCACATCCTTGTCAACACTTGTTATCTTCTGTTTTTTGTTTTGTTTTGTTTTGTTTTTAATAGTAACCATCTCGATGGTGTGAGGTTGTGGGAGGATATGCTTTTGAACGCTTCCTCTTTCTTATAATGTATCTTTTCCTGTGGAGCCCATAAACCATTCTGCCCTGGGTCTTTTATCCTCTCCCTGTCACTCTTGCTTCTCTGCATGAATATTGTCAGGGTAACATCATCTGCACTATTGGTAATGATGAAAATGTTCTATAATCTGTGCTATCCCATGCAGTAGCCCCTGCCCATATGTGGTTACTAACCATGAGAATTGTGGCTAATGATATTGAGGAAGTTAAATTCTAGTTCTATTTAATTTATTTTTTTAGTTTAAGCCACATGTGACAAGTGGTTATTACATCAGCTAATGCATTGGATTCTATTTCTTCCTGAGCTCCAACCTCATGTATCCAACTGCTCCTATGACATATTTGTCTAGATGTGCTAAGTATCCAAAATTACACATGTCCAAGGTTAGACTCTATCACTTTCTTCAGCCCAACACCTAATTTGGTTAATTCAATAATATCAACTTTGCCCAAAGTGGAGCTATTCAAATTGTCCTTTACTCTTCACTCCGCTTCATACCCTATATCCAGTATATCATATATCCTGTTGTTGAAACCTAAAAATGTCTCTTAAATCTGTCTTTTGTTATTCAAAATACATATCATCATTTCTCACCCAATACCACCAACAGCCTGCTTTTTAAAGAACTGTCAAGGGAAGCTCATTGACATTAAGATAAAGTTAGTATTTCTTAAATTCTTCAAATGTCACCTTTCTGGTGTATTCTTCAAATCTCTGAGTCAGAAGCATGAACTCCATCATCTTTATTCTCATAACTTGTTTATATCACTATCAACTCTTTGAGTATGTTATATTAAAATGATTTCCTTACCTGTTTACTCCCTTGGACCCATTCTCACGTATTGTTTTTATATTTCAAGTGTTTTGCTTCATCCTTGGCTTATAATAGGCTACTAGAATACTTAGATTACTAATAACAATTTATGAGCTATATGTTGAAGATTTAGAAGCATAACTAGACAATTCCTAGGTAGATAAGGAGAAATAAGCCTATTTCAAAACATAAATCCATGGAGATTTTTATTCACTTATTAAAGGATTAAGCAGCTAAGATTTATATTGGTATTTCATGCATGTGTAGTCTTTGGAGAAATTAGTTTTGCCTCTTTAATAATAAAAAAATGCTATTTTTAAAGGTAATTATAGAAGATAAGAAAACATCTTCAACATCGATGCAGTATGTGTTGCCCTTTGGCAACTTTATATGGTACCACATGACTGTCATTGAAGCAATGATGAATTACACCTTTTAGCATCAATATTGAGCCTCATTCATTACTTTCTTAGGTTCCATGCTTTATATCAAAAAGACAAAAGCCAGGATAAATTCATACTTTGTAAAAAAAATATTTTTAAAGAACTGCAGGACAGCATTGGAGAGCTACATACTAGGACTCATAGCTCCTATCCCATGTATGAGTGCAGTTTCTTTATTTTCATTTTTTTAATTCAGAAAAAAAACACCATTGATAAATTCTTAACATTTTAATGCTTGGAAACTAATTTACTTTTACATAAATCATATTTGGATCTATAACAAAGGTCCAGAAATACAAGGTTACTCACTTGTAAAGGATAATAGATTACATTACATGATCATTTGTATTAGATGTATATGCTTCTTATATTTATTTAATTAGGTTAAATAAATATGTGATGTGTTATAATGCTGTGTATTGAATTCAAACTTTTATTGGGAGAAATAACTAGAATCTTCAATATTTCAATTAATACAGATTTTTAAAAATGTTTTATAATTGGTGTAATATCAGTAATTGTGTTTTATCATTTTCCAAAGCATTTCTCTTACTTCACATCAGGTTTTCAGAATTCACAGTGACAGAATTTATACCAAACTGGATCTTTTTATTCAAAGTCCATTGCTATTTATATAATATCACACTGCTCTGTGAAACATGAGTGTACTAAATACATGACACACTATGATAATACCACTACTATTCTTACTGAAACATGCTTCTCAGCATTTAATTAAGCAGTTTAATCATATGCTTTCATATCTAACTTCTTTTTTTCTTTAAAGTGAAAACTAAATTCAGAAAATGCAGGTAAGAGTCTATCTGAAGACATCAGTACTCATATTTTTTAATGTGTTAATAATTATACTTCAATTACATCCATATTGCATTTCTAGTGAAAATGTATACATCATCTTTCAGTCTCACTAGTGAGGAAAGCCATTACTAGTGTCCTCCTTTTTGGTATAGAAAATAAAATACAGTTTTACTTAATAAAATAACAAGTTGGTAGCCAAGGTTGTAAAATCTACACTCCATATTTCCTAGTCATGTGCCTAGTCACCTCCACCATATTTATATTTTTATTTTGTTGTTGATCAATGAAAATTTGACCTTAAAGTATTTATTAAAGTATTTATTAAGTACTTCTTTTCATGATTCCCCAGTTTCTCCTATTGGTACACTAAGATTGAACTTCTGAAGCACAATTTCTTTCCCCGGCCTATATCTCCAACATGAGGTGTTACCATAGGTAAACATGATGATTGGGGAAGGAGTACCAACATTAGATAAATATATTTGGTCATAAAAAGTGTCAGAAGTCACTTACTTTGGCACTTAGGCATGTTTTATTTCTTCATAGACAGAATTTTTTCTAACATCCATTTAATGGGCTAATATCTGCTTACATATGAAATAAATTTGAAAATAAATATAGACCCTGTGGTAATATCTGTGCACAAATTTGTGTATTCTCTCAGTCTCTGACTTTCTGTGTTTCACACTAAGTACTGACCTCATATATATGTTCAGGTTATGTTTCATGTTCCCCTACTTCCTTCTTGCCCCCATCCCTGCTTCCCAACATGCTCTTAGGAGTTGTGGTGTGTCCAAGACATCATGCAGCAAGAATCAGTGTGTGTTTACACCTCTCGTTATACACCTGATATCAATAGGGTCTCAAATTATTCATTCTACAAAAATCAATGAATTCTCTGATCCAGAGGAAAGCAGAAAAAAAATGGAGAAAATATTACTATTCCATTGCCCTAAAATCCTCTAATGCTTCACTTAAAAATAAGTAAATAAACCTAGATTTTAAGTATTCAGAATATTTGAATGAATGCACACACATGCACACAAAATCGCTTTCATCTAAACGTATGCAGATGCATATACTCATTTAAATAGGTATATAGATATATATAGATATCTATTTTTACCTATCAATCTATCATCTCTACAATAATTAAGAATATAGTTAATATTTTGAATACTAAGGAACTATTATTTGGGGGCCACTTCTCTGTTGCTATATCCAAATAAAAATGGATATAAAGGATGGGTACATTAGAAACTAAATTAAGGAAGTGAAATAAATTACAAAGCAAAGAGGTATAAATGTAGTTAAGATTCAGATATTTTGAGCTTAGGAAAATTTTAAGTAAAATGTGGTCCAAACTCCTCTATTTCAAAAGTTCAGAAAAAATAAATTCACAGTTTAAAAAAAAAAAAGTTAGGGTAGACCTAGAATCCTAGTCTGTATTCTGAGTTCATTCTATTGCCACTTATTGACTTCAGTTCATTATATCACATTTCCTCTTTCTGAAGGAGAAAAATAGCCTTGTAAAATTTCACTAAGAAGATTTAAGAATGATTCAATCTTTCAACTAAGCATATATAAATACGTATTATTTTAAATGTGCTGAAATGTCAATATTCTCTATAAACTCTACCCCCAAAGGGAGGTTATGACAGGTTAAACAAATAGTTGGTAAATGTAAAAATTCGTATGATGTCATATGATGTCAGAACATTAAATTTATTTACTCTATACTGTACAATTTAATTTTCTCCATATTATAAGTGCACAGCTAAGAGTTTTAAGTAAAAATATAGGAATGACCATCACAGTGTAAAAACATTTATTATAAATGCAGTCTTTTTATTTCTTTTAAGGAGCCATTTTTCTTTTACTACAACTAAAAAGTACCACCACAAACAACCAAGTATCTTAAATATTGAAACAAAACATTGAAGATACATAAATTCAAAGATGCATTTTATACTGCCCTTAATCAAAGGGTGTACTTGAGAGTATACTACAAATCTACTTCCAGATGAAGGAAAAAAAAAAAAACCTAATTGTTTTATTAAGGATTGATTTTGAATACAAATCATGCTATTGCTTTGTATGATCTTGATTAAGTAGTATATCATCCTTACTCCTTAGTAAAGTAATGGGAGGTACTTAAAATCTTTTCAAGTATTTATTATAAATGAAAATATACGATTTCTCTTGATTGGTTATTTTCCTTTTCTCCATCTGCCAACAAAAAAACCCCAAAACTTTCCCAACTTGCTCATGAATGCAGTTATCGCCTACCTTGGTAATGGTTTCATGAAGGTTGAAAAAAGGATCCATTTCTTCAATTTTTGTTGCACGTTTAGGGAAAAGTGCCTCAGAGAGAAAACTTGGACCCTGCAGAAAATCAGAAAAGAAACATTTAAAACTCTTCATTGATTTTGTTTTTCAAGTGCTTATTGGATTTTCTTTAAAGATTCAAAAGGACTCTAAATTGCTTTAAGTTTTCTGTTGATTGTTGGCCTTCATTCTGATCTAATTAACCAACTGCAGAACACTTATAAATTAAAATGAGTAGAATTCTATAACTCTTATTTTTATTTACAAAAGAATTTTTTTTTTTTATTTAGAGGAGATAATTCTTTGCAGCCCTCCCTTTTCTCAAATGCAGGCTTATATGTAAAGCAAGATATCTTGATGACAAAACCTATAGTGAAACCTCTTCTCTGATTTATATATTAAATTTTACGTTTTAAGGCTGGAAGGATGGAATGTTTTTGATAAACATGACTACCATCTAAAAAAGCCTAGGCAAACGTATGCATGACATTTTAAATATTGCAAAACTCACTTCAAAGCAATAGTAAGATATTTTGGATAGACTGGTCTTATGGCTCCACATGCTTCCAATAAAATGATAGCATGCTGGCTGTATCAGAACCTTGGTGTTTAGATGGTTGAAATCAGAGAAACTTACTTTTTTTAATCAGAAAAACTTTAGTCATTTTGTACTTCCAGGTTAAACAAATTTCAGGGTGTAAGAAGACACAGGATGCTGACAATGTTATCATCTACTATGGTCTAAATATTCATGCTCATCTAAAATTCCTGTATTGAAATCCTAATGTCCAAAGTAATCATATTAGGAGGTGGGGCCTTTGGGAGGTGATTAGGTCGTGAGAGATTCATCCTTGTAATTGGGATTAGTGCCCTTATAAAAGAGGCCTCACAGAACTCCCCAGCACCCTCCTTTATGTGAAGACACAACAAGAAGTTTGCAATCATGGAAACGAGTCCTCACTCCATCATGTTGGCACCCTGATCTTGGACTTCCTACCTCCAGAACTGTGAGAAATTATATTCTGTTGCTTTTTATGCCACTCAGTCTGTGATACTTTGTTGCAGTAGTCCAAAAGGACTAAGACACTATCCAAAATAATAATCTTGCAGTTATCAACATTCTTAACATCCCATGAAATGATTATTACTTACCATATAAATATAGCTTTTACTTGAAAACCTGAAGTAACTAGGATTTGTCTAGAAAATAGAAGAATTGGGACAGGATATGTACATATGTAGACTATTGAATGATAGATAATCTTTCTGAAGGGTATTGTAGGGAAGAAAGAGACAACCAAATCTAACCAGCAATGACTACAACAGGGTAACAAATTTAAACTGAATTCTATTAGAATTATTTAATAAAGCTATTTATTAGAGCAATCCAGCAGTAGCAGAGACTACTTTGGGATATATCAATGATGAGAAAGAAAGTTAGGATGATGTAGTTGATGGACTCTGAAGTCATACAGATGAGGACTAAAACCAACATATTAGCAATTCCCTAGAAGTTAAACAATGCTGTAATCAGGCATACTCTTCATCCCCTATTTTGAACAATACTGTGATCAAACAAAAGTAATTTAGCTGTTTTCTCCAGTATATACCCACTTTTGGATAATAAAATTGTGAATCAAACAGCTTATCTATTGAGACAAACAGCTTATTTATAACTTATTTATAACTGTTTTATGTTCCTCTCCTCATTTTGCCCTCCAATCTAAAACTAATCAGTCAGAAACTCTGCCCAATTCCAACCAGTATTCCACTTTTTAAGGCTTAACATAAAACCACACAACCAGGCTAAAATATCATAAGTATCCTTCCTTAATTTCCCCATTTGGAGAGTCTACTAAGACTCAGTGTTATGGGTTGAATAATTCATATATTGAAGTTCTAACCTTCAATATCTCAGAATCTGATCTTATTTGAAAATAGATCATTGCAGATGTAGCTACCTAATCTAGAATGAGGTGATACTGGAATGGAGTGGGTCCCTAATACAATATGACTAGTGTCCTTCCAGAAGGAGAAAATTTGGAGACAGATGTGCACACAGGGAGAAAACCATGTGAACATGAGGGCAGAAATTGGAGTGATGAGTCTACAAGCCACGGAACTCCAAAGATTGCCAGAAAACCACCAGAAGCTAGGCAAGAGGCTTGGGACAGATTTTTTGGTCACACATCCCAGGACACCACCTCTGATACCACACTGAACAATAGATGTCTGCATACTCCATCTATGGTGCTTTGTTATGGCAGCCCTAGGAAACTAAAACACTTAGTCAGGATGCTATTCTTCCTCACTGCAGTAGGTCTCATAAACTTAATTGTGTTTATCAATAAGGCTTTTTGGACGCATTTGGGGCAGTCAACATAGAAATACATTAAAATTTTGGTTTTGCCACTTAATAATTATGTCATCTTAAATACCTTAATCTCCAAAGGATTAGTTAACACTTCTAAAAAACTTAAATAGCATCTACTTCACAGAGATGTTGTGAACTGTCGAATGCCTGCCAGACCAGAGATACTACATCAATGACATTGATGATGAGGCTAATAGCAATAAATCTCATAATGATGCTGGTAAGAGTGGTGGTGATGTGGTGGTAATTACAGTAGGATGCTGAACTAAAGGAAATCCAAAGACCGCTCTATGATCCTATGAAAGACAGGGCATAGTCTGCATTTAGATATGTTTGTTTTTCTAAAGAGAGATATTTTTTAATCAACTTTAGTAAAAAAATGGCATGAATAATTTGCAGCATTCATTTTCATTTAATAATTTAAGCTTGAAGTCCTTAAAAAGTGTGTTTCATGAGTGGTTTTAAATGAACTTTTTGACATAATTTTATCTTATTAGTTTACTCAGCAAAACGAAACTTCATAAATAGTGCAAAGGTAAAATATCAGCCCACCTCAAACTGAATAATCCCATGGAAGATAAATAGGGAGTTATAATTAATGAGGTTTTTATTGAACTTTCAATTATTTAGTAGCAGTACATGTTAATTTAAATTATCCATATGAGCCTTATCCTCCAATGTAATCCCTTTCTTTCTCTTATTCCTTCACCTCTCTTACCATACCATTCTTTGTTTCTGCTGCCTCGTTTATTTATTTAAAAAACACTCATGTGACCCTTCTACATGCCATTTACTAGACTAAGTGCAGGACACGATCCTTAATCTCATGGAGTTTAATCTAATGGGATTTGAGCACACAATACATCAAATATCACTGTCTTTTAAAATATTAAGACACTACCATTCTTTACGTGTGTGTATATACACCCACGTGTGTGTATATATACATATATATGTATATATATAACATTATCACTCATAGCCAGGTATTTATATATCCTGACATAAAAATAATGAAAAGATTAAAAGAATGATATATGCTTTGTGAAAGTTTTCTACTACTATTACATTAACTCTGAGTGATGGCTGTTTAATAATGGCCCCATCTGTAGATGAAGAGGGAAGTTAAGCACCATTAACCATTTAGAAAGGACTTTTGTTTAGAACAATTATTGATAGCTTAAAATAAAAGAGTAAATCAAGATATGTGAAAAACTTAACATTATATGTCTGCCACCTGGAGATCATAATAAACATATTATAGAAGAAGGGATATTGATAAGAAAAATCTATCTAGGATATGGTGTAAAATTCCATTTTTCTCCCCAGTCACTAACGTACTTGTCCTTTCTGTAACATTTCACCATATTTAGGACACCTTCTTTCTTTCAACTCTTTTGTCTAATGTCACTGATTTGATCCTGCTGGTTCTCTATTTGTATATTATTCTCTACCTGAACTGGATTTCTTTTTTTTTTTTTTAATCTTACTATCATTTTTAGGTGGTCTACTCTGTCTTCTCTTTTTCACCAGCTAAGTGGTTTTATCTACTTTTCTGGCTTCAACTACCATCTTCAAAATGGTGATTTCCAAATCTTTATCTCCATACTTGATCCCTGTTTTTAGTTCATTGTTTTTATTTGTTTATGAGATCCTTCAGATGTATCAACTTATGTTCCAAATCATGATCATGTGTTTCCCCAATTATTGCCTTCATTTCTTATCTTGGATAATAGCATCATATCTATATTTTGCCTATATTTATATATATTTTTTGAAATTTTGTGCCATTCTTGGCTCCAATGTCTCTCACCCTTTGTACCACAGAACAGCATTAGCCAGTTCCCTTCTAACCTATATATTTAATTTTCTACAAATTTCTATCCATTGCTATAGTCTAGTTATTTATTACTTTTACCCAAACTATGGTCCCTACTGACTATAGACCAAAGCATAAATTCATTAGTATGATATTTCACAAACAAGTCCTACCCTTTTTTTCTTTCACCTTTGAACAATTCTTTCTTTCCCATAGCTACTTCACACCATTTCCATATAACTTCTGTTTATAGCATAGCAAGCTATTCACCAACTGGACCCACACTTACTTTTACTATCTCTGTTCTTATACTTATGCCATTTCCTCATCTGCCTGAAATGTTCTTCCTCCATCTGATTATGAGGCTTCTTTCTACAATTGCTTTCCTGGATCCTCACCAACCCATCAGAGTTCATTGTGCTCTTGTCAGTGTTTTCATATCACTTTATACTTACTTTTCCTCATCGTTCATTACATTGTGTTTTTGTTATATTTCTGTTTACTATACTCTGAGTCTTTTAAGACTTGGGAACCCTTTTGTATTAAAACAGTAAAAAATGCCAGACAACCTTGAGTAAGTCATTAATTTCTCAATCTTACTATCATCAAACCATAAGGCTGAAAAATGTAAACATGCTGGTACTTCTCAGAGAGCTCATGTCAAAATTAAGCAAAGGAACAAAGCATATGAATGTGCTCAGGAAGGAGGAAAGGACTACATTAAAACTGGGTGGTGTCTGATTTTTATCACATTTGTCAGGAATTGCTTTTTTTATGTAAGCAAAAGTGAGTTTTGAAATTTAAATTACTATAAATATGTGCTTGTGTATGGACCTGCTAGTGAAATTTCTCTTTTAAAATCTA